ATATAAAGGTTTATTTAGTCACTATAGTTGGATTTACAGTAACTAATAGCGTTTTCTGTTGGTAAAACTCGTGCTGCCCGAGTTCTGCACTCAACACTGAATTAGTTCACGTTTAGTGCAACCCAAAAGAACATGAATTTGGTGGGTTTTGTGATTGTTTTCAATATTAGTCATTCCAAGTTAACCGATCCGCCATTTTAGCTGAGGGGCAAACACAAGCCAAACATAACCTGATTTAGGGTGGGTATTATAAAACTACTTTGAGAGTTAACTTAAAGTTAACTTCTGGAATTACATGTAATTCAAAAAGTTAACTTCAAGTTAACTGTCAAAGCAGTTTTATAATACCTGCCCTAAGTGTTATTTTCAATGCAAACCGAGAATTTTTGAAGTATTATTTTGTGAAGATGCTTTCGTTTTGTGGCGTTTTTGGATGCTCCAATAGAGCTGAAAGGGATAAAGTGAGGTTTTTTAGGATTCCAGCAGCATTTAAAGATCAAGGGGATCGCATAAATGAGCTATCAAAAAAACAACGGAGTATGTGAATTAGATGCCTCAAAAGGGGAGATTTGACTGTAACGCTGTTGAAAATGCTCGAATTTGTTCGAAACATTTTGTTAATGGTAAGTTTTATGACTCTCTTGTTGTTAAAATACAAAAACACTTCATGTAAGTTGTTTATGTTTCTACAAGTATATAGGTAACTTTTAATACCTTTTAGGTAGTCCAGCAGAATTTAAGGATACAAACAGTCCGGATTGGGTCCCCAGTACAAATTTAGGATATATACTACGATAATTGATAGAAGCCCAGGATGAACAAGCCAGTAAGCTAAGCTACATGCCAGATCTGTGCACTGATCAGAACCAGAACAGTCAAAACCTTTGAGGAGTCATTCTACCACAAATTTATTTTGCTAAAGTTTATTTGTAAGGTTGTTAATATAAAACTTTTTTATTTTTTAAACAATTTATGGCTGGTTTATACAACATTTGCATAGTCGTAATCATAATCATAGTCTTATAAGAGTTAAAATAATATTTTCTTATGGAACCATTTATACACAAATCATAATCATAAGCATAAGCATAACTCAAAGTTGGCAACTTTTAACTTTTATGATTGTGACTAAGACGAGATCCAAACTGCGCAAGCGCTATTATCAGCTGTTACAGAGAAAAACAATTCAAATCTGCTATTATAGTTCTGTTTGTATTAAAATTGATCTTGAGTCATTCTAGAGTATTTAAAAAAAAGGGTCTCCATCAAGCTTCTACATGTCTTTGAATAATGTGGCAAAATGCCCTTTCTTCTGCCTTTTTTTATTGATGGGACTCCCTTTCCACCTTCTTTGTTTATGATTTGCGTTTGTTGAAGTTGTTTATTAGCAAAACTCAAAAATAAATAGGACAGACCTATCACTTGTATGGTTTTCTTTCGCAGAATTTTAATTTCCACACTTTTTGAAAAAGTATTAAAAGTAAATAGACGAGTTCGATTCGCAAAAAGTAAACAAATTCTCCCTACAAAAAGTCGGGTTAGAGTTGATTTTATTTTATGCTTATGACATTGTATAAACGCCTTCTAAAATTGTGATTATGATTAAGACTAAGACTAACAGCTATTTTCACCGGTGTTCCTTAAAAACAAACTAAGTTAGGTAGAGGCTAAGCTTAAGGTGAACCTTTAGGTTGAGTTGCTTTGCACCGACCAAATCTTAGCTAAGAATTGAAAGCTATTGGCAACAGCGCAAAAATGCGTATTTTAAGGCAGAAATGAAGATGGAGGATCATCGATAATCAATTTCAACCAGAATTCTGTCAAAAAAAGAAAACAAACCCAAAAATGAGGTTAGAATCCAACTAAGCGGAGAAAATCTGGGGCTTAACTTAACTAGACTTGAGGTGGACACGAAACAGCGGTGCAAAGCAAAATCGTAGTTTAAGTTCCACTTAAGACTAAGGCTGACCTTAAGTTGTAGCGGTGCAAATAGCAGTTAGACTATGATTATGATTACGACTATGCAAATGTTGTATAAACCAGCCATTAGATTCTTAAGCATTATTTTTGTAAATAAATTGTTTGTTTACTATTGTTGAATTGAAATGTAAAGTGGCATGTCTGTAAATAAAGATTCATTCATTAATTCATTCCATTCATTCACAAAAACTAAAAACAACTTAAAATTTATCGAACAAATCAAAAAACGCAAAAATTCCGAAGCACAAACTCAAAAAGCACTGTAAACAATATGATCTATAGGCTTTGTTTGCCCCTCAGGGGCGAGTTCAGGAATGACACACTCAGTGTGAGTATGACATCGGTGCGACGCACTAGCCGTTCATAAATGCTATAGGCACACCGAGTGCGCGCACTCTGTGCCGTTCAGAAACTACCTATCAATAGGCATGTTCGCAGAACAATCACAAACCAGTCAGAGTGAATCTCATTGGTTGAAAATAGTTTTCTGACTGTTTCTGATTGTTTTCAACCAATGAAATTTGCTCTGACTGGTTTGTGATTGCTGTGCGAACAGGCCTATTATCGATATCTATAATTTTTTGGTTTTGTTTATACCATAGACATGTTTAATACACAGATTTTTCGGAACTTTACGCCATTTTTGTTGTGCTCTGTGCTCTGACATTGGTTTTCCAATAGAATATAAAAACCCGCTCGAGAACTGCCAACAGAACATAATTTTTGCATGAGTGCAGCACGAGTTTTACCAACAGAAAACGCTATTAATAAAACTTACATACAGTGGCGACAAAAACTGGAATGCTAACACATAAGGACGAATTTGAAGCCTAGTGCGGCTGCTGCGGAGGGGATACCTGTTTTTGTCGCACTCATTATGTTAAATGGCGAAAATTGCTTCCAACACGTATTCCAATTGATGAAACCTGTGAAGGGAAATATGACAAAACTTTCGAAAACGTCATATGTCAGCAAGCAACAGAAAAAAACAACATTCCCCTGTGCCTTTTACATAAAGAAAAATTGAAGATAGAAGAGATTGAAACGAATCTGTGTTTGGAACATGGCCCTGAGCCAGATGGCTTTCTGAACACAATCAAATGTGCTGGCAAATTGCCCTATTGGGAGCAGAAGCCAAGAACCCCAGGAAAGAAGAAGAAGAAGAAGAACATTCCCCTTTGTGGCATCTATCTTTCATGGCTACATTTTTTTGGCAGATATGGCAATGTTTGCGCATTCCAGTTTTTAGCTATGGTTCTTTTATTCAGCAATGGCATCCATCTGCTGCCATCATAATAAGGCAGACATTCCTATTTTCTATGAGCTAGACAAAGAAAGGCTGATTACTGATGGATCCACCGCTGAATAAAAGAAAGCGCCCTATAGTTCATTGGCGACAATAGAGGTCCCGCCGCCATTTTGTGCCCATCCTCTTGTTACTTTTATATATGAATAGATTTAAATCGACATCTTTCATAAAACATTGAAAACAATGTATTTGATGACTAGTATTAGGTACATCAAATACGTCGTTTTTCATGTATTATGATGGATGTTCACCTAAATACTACTCATATTTGAAATAAGGAAGGGGTAGGCACAAAATGGCGCATTTTCAATATAAATATATGGAATTTTAGAACCAATCAAAAATAAGACGGCAATTGTCGCCACTGTGGAGACGGCAATTGTCGCCACTGTGGTTGTGGTTTAATAGAGCCACTGTAGCTGGATTGCCCTATAATAAACAACTGTGGTGGCGTGGCGTGGTGCTGATTCCAGTCCAAACATGAAAATGTCGAAAATTGCAAAAAAGCATATGAATTGTTTGGTGGCTCCCAAGAGCCGCTTTCCAGTATGGGAGTGTGACGCCCGGAGCTACTCAGGGCGTTGAGCTCCCGAGCTGTACGTATGCGTCAACCTGTCAGCTGGCACATCCGTGGGTAGTTATTTATTTATTTATTTCTTGTTATATCTCAAGATTGAACATTTTAAAAAATATAGTTTTGATTCTCTTTTATTTTTGATAAATAAAAAAACAAACTGCACAAACAAACAGATAATTATTTTTAAAATTTGACATATTTGACACTAAGACAGGCGTCTCACGCCATGATACTGGAACGGTACAAATCTAGTGCGTGGCGCCCCCGAGGTGCTCTAGAGCGCGCCAGAGCGCGCCAATGTGCATACTGGAAAGCGGCTAAGGATGATACACACCCACACCAAGGACAATACACACTAGTTCTACAGGATGGCCTATCCTCATAAGGCCTGTGAGGAACAAATCCTCCCCTAGCCAAATCACCAGTTGTGACGTGAAGCATGTTATTTCTCGCCTTGACGTATCGTCCTTGGGTGGCTCCCACCAAGCTAGCGGTCTAGCGGGTGAGGTATGTGCTTCCACCTGCTGGTAGAAAAATATGGCTTCGCGCGCGGAATTTAAAATGTTTGGCTAATTTGAATTGAATTTCACAATGTCACAAAGTTTCCCCTTTGTCACAAAGTATCCCTGTTCTACGGTACCTATCCCTAATTTTTTTTAAATCTTTGCAACGCTGAGATGCTATTCCACAGGATCATACCAGCGAGATTTAGGACTCTCCGGGACTTTCCATAGGACCGGTTTCTCAATAGCAAGTCACCCCCGGGTTAAGCATAACTCAAGGGTAAACTTTGCAACTGGACACGTTTACCCTGGAGTTAAAACCAATCCGGAGGTGACTCGCTATTGAGAAACCGACCAGAAAAATAATTTCAAGAATCAGTTTCAGAGAGAAAAAAGTGAAGAAACACGAAACATAATAAATAGTATGTCAATTTCAGGTGGAAAGCGAGCACTATGCCTGCTTAGAGCTGGCGAGTAATCCGATATCGTTCTATTCGAAGTGACCGTTTCATTTCTCGAATGGCAATCGCAAATTTCACCGAAAGCACCTAATCCGATACCCGTATCGTATGTCAATTGGAATCCCGGCCCTTCATGAGATCCTCCGTCCTCTTTTTTTTGCCCTGCGCGACTCGACACTGACTGATACTCGACTTGCCCAGTTGTCAACTCGAAAATAGAATTGATTTGTATGTAACTGGATGCCATTAGAAAATAAACAAAAATAATAAAATTATCAAATTATTGTCAAAAGCTGTCTTCGTTTGAAATATATTTATTGTTAAAAATTACAATTCGTCCCAGTTCTCAATTGGTAATACAGTTAAATTTGGAGGAGCATCTTGATGTTCAAGAATATGTTAATAGTATAGTATAATAGTTCCAGTTATAAAAAAATGGAACTGTCTCACAGTCTTACATTAAATGAGGAAGCTCTCGCACAGCTATCAGATGCTAAGAAACCTGTGTTTATATTTGAATGGCTAAGATATTTGGACAAAGTCTTGGTGGCAGCACATAAGGTAAGTAAACCTGTCCTATCCTATGTATTTATTATTGGTTTACATAGTCATAAAATGACATAAAATCACTTGCAAAAGTAACTTATCTCTTCTCTTTTGAAATTTACTTGTAGAATGATGTCAAAGGGTGCCAAAAACAATTGGTACAACAGCTAATGAATCATATTCAGGAATCTCCTGGCCCTCCAACACGTCAATTAATTGCAAGATGTCTCGCCACTTTGTTTTCTGTTGGAGATGCATTTCTTCTATTTGATACTGTCAACCAATGCAATGATATTTTGAAAAACAAAGACGATAGTCCCAGTTTTTTGCCTACAAGACTGTAAGTACAATAATGAGTAACTGTATCTTGTTAAAAATTATCATTTCATGCAGGGATCGACCGATACCGATATGGCATATCGGTATATCGGCGTATCGGCCTTTTTCAGGTATATCGGTGTATCGGCATATCGGCCCTTCATTAGCCGATAACTTTAGACCGATACAAATCATATTTTAAAAGATTAGTAATCATCACTAAGGCTTTTTTGAAGCTTAAAAGAGCTAATAATTGTGGTTCGTACATATGGGAGTGACTAAGAAGAAAGTAAATATAAGAAATTGTTTTTCATAAATTTATTCTAAATTAATTAGGTATTTATACATGGTGTTCCACAACGTTTTTCCGAGGTAATAACTTCGGAAAGCGTCATCCAATATAATTGAAATTTTGAGGATCTGAGTAACTTTTTGTGCCGCTTCTACCAGTGTCATCCAATTTCACCACTTTCGCTTCAATTTTGGTCAAGTGACATCAACCTTCGAATCTTATTCTTAAATGTAACCCATGGAACTTATAGCATTTTTCGTTAGAAAATTAAATTACAAAATCGGCAATGCAATATTTGTTAAGGCTTTGTTAAAGAAAATGATAAAAAATTATACAGTGGAACATTCGAGGATGCGTTCTGAAGTTATCATTTGGGAAAACCTCGTGGGACACCCTGTACAAAAAAAGCTTAACATTCTGCTTATCTAAACTTAAATTCAAAATTATTTATTTATTGAAAAAAAAACTAATCTTTCTGCTTATCTGAACTCGAACAAACTGCCGATGCAATATATCGGCCTTATATCGGTATCGGCCTTCTATAAAGCCATATCGTATCGGTATCGGCAATATCGGTTTTTTTTTAAAAAAAAACCGTATCGGTCGATCCCTGATTTCATGTCAATTATGAAATGTATTTTTTCCTTGATCCTCTAAGAAAGTAGGTACCTACACAATAGGTTTGTTCCAACACAGCAAAAAACTGTACAATGTACTGTCACGATTCTGCAAGAATTTTGTCATAACTGTTGTTAAGTATTGCTATAATGCCTGATTGTTGTTTTCAAAAATTTTAATTTTTTCCCCTTTTTTTTCTCTACTAGGTATATTACTGGATAAATAACTAGATCAATATTGATTGTTAAATCGGGTTTTAAATACAAATCGGAGTACAAATTATACCATGTATTTGTAAACTGTACCAAATTGATTTCCATTTGTATCAGAAGCAATATTTTTATTTATTTTTTAAAAATAAATATTGCTTCTGCCCTTTTCAGTAAATACATGTTTACCTTCTTAATGTTTTGATTTTTTTTAAATTTCACATTTTAATTTAATAAAAAGCTGCTTTCAGTTTTTATCCGGCTGCTTGTGTAATTTTTTTTTTTATTCACCAAACGTCAGAGCCACAGGTATAGGTACTTCTTTTGGTTTTTTTTTACAAAAAATTAAATTCGTTTTGCCAACTACATATATAGGTACTTTGTCATACCTATACCTACACAAATTTTTTTCTAATTCTTGTTAAATTTTGAACTGATGCATTTATTTCTATTTTTTACTGTCCACTACAGCATTGAGATTATTGTATTTATTTTAGGGCTGCAATATGTTGCGTAGGTACCATGTATGAAAAACTGGGTAGGATGATGGGTAGATCCTATGAAGAAACAGTGCAGATTTTAGTGCGATCTCTTAGAAGTGCTGAATCTCAGACAAGAATAGAAATAATGCTCACTTTGGAGAAAGGTAATATATTAAAAATATTTAATAATGTATTTAACTCGGTATTTAACTTCAAAAGAGAATTTTTGATGAATTTGTTTAATTGTTTTACAATGGACTGTGTATTGCTATACCATCCCCGATCAGCCAAGTTGCTAGTATTGGGATAATATGACAATAGTGTTAGTTTTTGGTTTGAAATTCATATATGTTTTTTTTTATTAATTACTTTTTACACATTTGAGAAGTCACCAAAACATTGGCTGGATTTGAATAGTCAAAGTTTCATCGTAAAGGTAAACATGGGTACATTTGAATTATTTACTTACACAGCTATTATTAAATGTGCTATGGGAAATAATATGCTATTCTATTCTAAATAGAAACTTAAGAAAATGTATAGAAATAATTATTAATCAGGAAAATGTTTTTTGTGGCTCGAAATATATAATGTAACGTAGTTGATATAATTAGTGGGAATACGGCCAAAAAAAAAGAGTTTTCAAACTACATTGAATCAATTATTGATAGTTAGATGAGTTTGAAGAAAATAATTAACATATATTTTCAGTTTGTATCACAAAATATCTTATAGCACATGACGCAGGCATCATAAAATAAGTGAAATCTTTGGTATACTTAAATACTAGCCTTTAATAAATTTGTTTGGAAACGCAAGTGGCTTATGAATGCCACAGATCAAAAATGTATAAGCGTTTCATTCATTAGTGACCTTGCAGTACAAAAAAATTAACGAAGTAATGATCCAAATTAACTATAAATAAAAAATTTCTTCCAAATCAGTTCCTACAGACTAAGTGCAAAATTTATGTCCTTCATGAGTTTTTTAGCTTCCCCAAACCAAGCTTCAAACATCTCGATACTAAATGGGACAAAAAAGAGTCACCAAAGTGTTTAATTTTGCTCTGTTTCATTTGTAACATTTGAAACGTTACACATGTAATAAAGAAGAAATGTTTAGGTGGGTTTATACAGCACATAACATAACATAAGAAATAAGATAAAATAAGACATAACATAATATAAGAAATAAGAATTTTGTGGCGTTTATACAGAAAATAACATAACATAAGAAATAATTTCTAACCAATCAGCTGGTACGTGTACTTATGTAAACTCTACCGAAAACACTATATTTGATCAAAAAAATTATTAATTAATAATTTAGCAGTAACAGAAAATCAATATCGAATTCCAAAAAATTACCAATAGCTGAAAACAAAATCAAAATATTTTTTTTTTGGTTGGAATGTTTTGTTTACTACTCTGCCATTGGGGACATCAAGGGAGGAGCATGCGCAGATCCGTTTTCACATAAAATAAGACATAAAAGTTAAAAGTTAACCAACTTTCTTATTTCTTATGTTATGTTATGTTATTTTCTGTATAAACGCCATAAGGGGTTTCCATAAGGTCAACTTTTTATCTTATGTTATGTTATTTCTTATGTTATGTTATGTGGCTGTATAAACCCACCTTTATATTTCTTATTTATTAAAAATTTAATTTTTTCAGACAATGACAAATATGACAATTAGAAATTGCAAACAGTAGTCAGCCCTAACTACGTACTAGTTTGAGGCATTCACTAAATTTGTTCAGTGCATTGAGAAAACGAATTTTAGAACCATTTTATGCGTCATGTGGAAAGTCAAACACAATATCTCATGTCCCATCAAAAAAATTCATGATTTACCTATAGCTATTCACAGAATAATGTTCACGCCAAAGTAGTTTGAGAGAAGTTTGGTTAATAAAAGACTCACATTATGAACACCTCAAAAGCATTGCTGAGTCTCATGGTTGGGAGGGATTCCATTATATTTTTGTGTCTAAAATAATGAGACGTAATATTTAGTAGTTAGATAATTGGAAAAACAGTTTTAAATGGCTTAGACTTGTATGAGTGTCTAGTGTCTGTTTTATTTTGGAAAGATCTATCAATCATTAAAACTTCACTTTTATAAAAAAAAAGGAGGCCACTATTTTCAGTGTTAGCAAATGGCCATTATTTATTCGTTTTATTTTTTTCACACAGTATGTTCTGGCATGGGTACTGCTGCAATGAATATTCACAAAGACATATACAAAGCATCAAGACCATGCCTAGTTGACCGCAATATGGCAGTAAGGTGCGCCGCATCAAAATGCCTTTTGGAACTTCTAAAGCACGCTCCCTTCCTCCATGGTCCTGAGCTGGAAAGCTTAGCTTCCCTATGTTTTCGGGCTTTCGACGGATCCAATTATGAGGTTAGATGTTCAGTAGCACGACTGCTGGGAACTCTAGTAGCTACTACCCAGCAAAATGTTAAGGAAACTACAGGAAAAAATGGTATGGTTTTAAAATTAGGAAGTATCTATTTAAGTGGTTTCTAGCAAGGCTTCTCTTTTTGTATGTGTTTGATTAACAATACTTTGTTTAATTTTTTTTCATAGTTCAACCAGCCAACAAAAATTTGAAAGTTTTCTCACTTGATGAAGCAATGGGAATATTAATGTCTGGCTTTCTACGTGGAGGTGTTGGATTTTTAAAGGGGACCGGAGAGATTATTAAAGGAAGTTCTGGAGTAAACAGAGAAGTTAGAGTTGGAGTGACGCATGTAAGTTTCTAGAAATACATAATACCTGTTAATTTATACCCTTTACCTATTTTTCGAAAAATTACCATTGTTTTTTTAATGCATGCCAGCCAAAATATAAGAAAAGAGAAATACATACTTGCTAATTTACCTACCTAAGGAAAAGCTCTTTCATACTGCTTTTATTCAGCTTATTGAATTGCCTCACTCTCTACTGCCTCGATTGTGGCATCACATAAAACAACCCTAAAAACAATTTGCAAATCGAATAAAACAGAAAAATCTGTAATCTGTAAATCTTTGTAACTTTTGGCAATCGGGAAAATTACCATTCGTTAAAATGTTATTTACAAGTTCAGTAATTACAGGGCTGAGATGGTTTCCGATTTCATCTTGGGGGCAAGGCTGTAAGAATATGGTTTTTTCTTGTATTTCTTTTGCAAAGTTTATGTCATTCTGAGTATTATCTTTCTCCTGCTCAACCTCTCTGCTTATTTTATGCCCTATATTCAAGAAATTATCATTTAATACCTCTGCTATTTCTTGTGGGTCATCAACTTTTTTGCCATTAATATTTAGAGAGGCTATGTTGTTAGTTTTAATACTATCTGTACATCGATTTTCTATGGTTTGGTATATTGACTGCCAGGCTTTTCTTGTGTTGCCTTCAGCCTGCTGGAATCTTTCACTAATATATCTATTTCTGAGTTTATGTCTCAAGGTATTGCATCTGTTTTTCAATTTCTTAAATTCTTCCATGACAGCATAAAAATAACTGGTTTTTTCCCTGATCGAAAATAAGCGGTGTCCGTTTCATGAACTAGATTTAAAAATTGGCTCGTGATCCATGTTTTATTATGGTCTCTTAATTTTTTTTCATTTGTTGATTCTTTCTTGGCATCCTGTACAATCTTAATAAGCTCTTCCAAAAACCCTAATTTATGTAAAAAGCTCTTGAGACATGGAAGCGTTTTGAATCGCGTCTGTTGAGGGTAGCCTAGATAACACCGTCAATAATATTCCTAAAAATTACATTTTTACATGGGGAAATGTGACTAAGGAATACTTATGGCTAAGGCTTTCTCAAAATGGTTGGTGCAAACGGCAAACGACTATAAGAGAGAGAACATCGAATTTTAGTGAATACTATTTGTTTCCTTTTTAATTTTTGAGTTTGATTTTATGTTTGGGGTTATAGTGTATATAAGTTTATTACGTGTTATTCAAGAATTTGCCAAGAGTTGGCCTTAAGGTTGTCGCTCACTGGAGCGTAGCGCACGGCAGCGCGGCGGAGAGGAATTTTTGAATACATTGTTTTAAACGGGAGTATGCTCACTTGTCGGAAGAGCGCCGTTCGGCATACTCCCGTTTAAAACAATGTATTATAAAAAGTCCTCTACGCTGCGCTTTCATGCGCTGCGCTCCAGTGAGCGTCAGTCTTTATGGTAACATTTTGTGAGATATATATATTTTTTAATCTATCTTCAAAACTAACTGAGTTCAGTAATATAAACAGAAATTTGAACTAGGTTTATCTTAAGCAGGTAATCTTAAACCCTCTATTTAAGGTCTGCAATAAGGGCTGTTGAGAAATGTCTTACTCGTACAAATGTCTACTTCTTAAAATTAGACATGAAATTATAATAAAGATTTCTTTTTTTTTTCTTTCAGGCATATGTGACATTTGTCCAAATTCTAGGAAGCTCATGGCTAGAAAAGAATATGAAAGCATTCTTGTCACATGTTCTGTATCTTGTGGCAAATCCAAAAGCAGCTTCCTCACACGTTGATGCCGTTTATTCTCGCAAATGTATAAACTTCATTTTAAGATGCGTTTTTGGAAAAATGTTTGGTGAAAAAGCACAGATCACAGCCTGCAAACAAATTGCCCAAATTATTTCAAAAGAAATGAATAGCATTGATTTCAATCCAGAAAATGCCAAAGAGTTTAACCAAGAAACCTTGTTCAGTCAGCATCTTTTGGTTTGTGCCCTACAGGAAATTGGAAGCCTGATTCTTAGTTTAGGAACTACAGCTTATGATCTAATTACTGATCAATCTCTAAGTATGAATTTGACAATACCTCAGCCATAAAGTATCTGGACTGATAATGTACTAAACACGAGCCTGTGTTACTTGATATCAGAAAAACATACATGAGACTGTAAAATTTTCTTTAAGGTTCACAGCATTACCTCAAAATAATCTATAGTATTTTTCACAAATGTCACTAAGTCCAAAAGTTACTATGCATAGTAAATTTGAACTTTATTCATGGAAAATGCTATACCTATTTAATTATTGCTTTTGGCCTTTGGGACCCTAAATGTTCTTTGTTTGATTATTTACAAAACCAATACACAGTACAGTTTTAACATAAAAAAATTTGTTAGGCTTTATCAAGGCTCTGTGCTCTGTGTAAATTATTTTCTAAACTTCCTCCGCTTTTATTAGTCCAGAAACTTGTTGAGCAAGGTTTAATTAAGTAGGTAGGAGTATAAGGAAAAAAGTAACGCTCTTTGTATCTCTTACCCTGCCTATTTATCTTTAAACACACCTGCTTCTTTACCTATTTTTTTATTACAGCAACAGGCAAATAAGCAGGTATGTATTTAAAGATAAATAGGCATTTTTACACATTGAAATGGGTGTTATTCTGCAACACTGAGGGACGGCAAAATGTACAGATTAAACAGCCCTTTGAAATGATCCATCACTCGATTCCCTGTCTCATTTGAAAATTTTGGAGTGGTAGCCCTAGGGCTCAGGGGATTGAAGGGGCGAAGTCCAGTTTTATGTGAAAAGCATTCCCCCTCAATAAATTGGTTGCCATGTGTCGGCGATTTCCAGAAATCTGTCTCTTTATGCTGATAACGTAGGTGGCAAGTTTTGAAATAAAAACCCTGTATTAATGAGATAGAAGGAGCGGAGCGTTCCATACTTTCATTACACTCTGTATACCACGCTAATTGCTTTTGTTTTTCAGATGTGATTGATGTTACCATGAGTGTCTTGATCCATCCATGTCAAGCTGCAAGGTTAGCAGCTGCATGGTGTCTTCGATGTATTTGTGTAGCTGTTCCAAGTCAAATATCACCCCTTATTGGTATGCTTACATTATTTCATTTATATAGCAAGAATATTTAACATAATTCACAAATCCTTTAAAAAACATCATTTCCCTTGCATAATGTACCAAAAGTGGTTAATAGCTGGTGATAGTGAGCGGTAGCGTCTACCAATATTAGTTTTAAGATCCAAATAATTCCATCAACCAAAATTCTGATGAGCAAAAACGAAAACTGAATACTATTCGAAATAACTACTTGAAATCGAGGATCCTTGTAATAACAATTAAATTTGTATCCTGTGAACAGATGATATAAATTAACATTTTTTTTATAGATCGATGTGTTGCTGGTCTTGAACAGTACCGTACATCTCCAGAAGCAATTTCAGGATATAGTTCAGCCCTAGCAGCTGTTCTTGGTGGTGTGAAATTATCCCCCCTGGGTGTACCCCATACCAAAGGAAAAATTATATTTAACACTGCGGAAGAATTGTTGCGCAGCGCTAGCCAAAACAGTCGTTTATCACTTGCAAGAACTAGCGCTGGTTGGCTGTTAGTAGGCGCAGTAGCTGCTTTAGGGACCGCAGCTTCACGCCCGCTTCTTCCAAGAATGCTTTTGTTGTGGCGCAATGCCTTTCCGCGTTCCGCCAAAGAATTGGAGTCAGAAAAGGCAAGGGGAGATGTTTTCACTTGGCAAGTGGCATTAGAGGGACGAGCTGGTGCTCTAGCTGCAATGCATAGTCTCCTATTGCATTGTCCAACTTTAGCTTCTGGAGAAGATGCTGGAAGGAGGCTTCTCCAACCCGTTGAGGCCGCTTTAGCTATGCTTACAAGGTAATGCATTTATTAATCATATTTTTTTACAAGCACCACGCACGGAACACTTATTTGACTCTTTGACTCTATTTCTATAGGCGTGTTTGGTTTTATTGGTCATATGTGATTTTTTTTAAGGATATCCAGTTAGCATATATTTGCTCTAAAAACTATAAATTTATGTTATTGCTTTCAATTAATTCCAAATTGAACTATATTTTCTAATTTACTAGTCCGTTTATTATTACATTCTGATATTATTATCTAGCTTATCTGGAGTTCTAAAAACCTATGGACAACAATTGAAAGCTCCTGCAGCGATGGTTCGATTGCGTCTTTGTGAAACCTTGTTGCTATTATCACCTCATTCGTATGAAAGTAAGTCTGGTTTCTTGGTGGTTCCATTGTTATTTTTGAAAAAAAAAATCATAAAATTCAGGCTCCTATACTCATCTATTGAGGATGCTAGTAGCTGAGTTCACTTTGACTGAAAATCCTGCAAATACCACTACATCTCAATTGAAGGCAGTTTGTCATGCGGATGATGCTATATTATTGGGAACTTGGCTTCAAGAAACCGATCATGGAACTATTGAAGATCAAGTGAGTATAATTTTTCTCTTTATACATTGGAGAACATTTAACAAGTCGTTACCACTACTCAGTGGGTCGATTCCCAAACAGATACTCTTGTGTCTCGGATTTCACATTGGTCATTACCCGAAAAAACTTTCTAACAATTTTCATGCCAACGAAAGCTCAGACCAATCAGTGTAATTCAATGCCGGTAGGGGTATTTGCCCTCGGAGTAGTTGTTTCTGACTGATCAACGAAGTTCATTTGACAAGTCATTTATAATTCTGATTTTGAAATAACAGGGTCCTTCAAAAACAAAGCTAAATTTAGAATCGTTTCAATCGTCAAATTAAATTACTAATAATAGAAAATTTATTATTTTTCTCAGATGGAAACTAATCGTAAAGGTGATGGTGATCATGTGAGTAATTGCTTTCAGCTTTAGGCCATTTTTATAAAATTATTGTTTATAATCTAACTAGCAAACTTGAGACTGTGATTTCTAAAAATCCTTGATTTAAATTTTCATTTCTAGCTTCAAACTCATAGCGCAGCAGGATCCGGAGCGCTCGAACATGACCCCTGTTGTTTGTTTAGAGCAGGAGCTGGAGAAGATCCTCCTGGTCCCCTACCTTTAGGAGTTGCTGTTATCGACGCTGCAGTGTTACTTTTTGGACAACTGTTTTCCCGATTAACTCAGCGTCATCGTACTCAAACTTTGGATCATTTTGCTGAATGTGTTAAAGCTGCAAGAAGTACTCGTCAAGAAGCCGTTCAATTGAATGCTTTTGCTGCATTATTATGTGGTTTACGAAGCCTGGCAGCTGCAAAGGTCTATTTATAAATAATTTTAAAATTGAACTGAAATTCGTGGGTTTAAGGATGGTTCAAAAAATGCATTTTTTTATTCGTACCCGTTTTATTGCAACTCTTTCAACAGTCTATACATAGATACAAGACTAACTGGTGTCGAGTTTCAAATATTTACAATTCTACCTGATTATATTATTTTATTGTCAATAGTCCCTGTGTCTTTATTACACACAAAATAGGAATCGTCGACTGCCAAGTAAACAAACTAAGTTGGATCTAATACTCAAACAGTTTCTTTCAAAGAAGTTTTTTTGATTCAAACTTGCATCATTGAAAGTACAAGATACTCTAAATTTTTCCTGAAAGAGTATCTTTTTGGCTTTTTCAATTGAATCATCAAAAGAATGTGCCCAAAATGAGTGGTAAATTGCATTTCAGCGACTTCTCCTCTATTTTTCTCTCTTTCCAATCGATATCTATCCAAGGTAGTCTTGAAGTGTGTGATTAACAAAAAAACGACGTCAACGAGTCGTACAGATATTTTCGTATTTTTGGTTCAACATTTTATTTAAAGCCATAAAATGGCCCAAATTTGTACTAAATGTACTATTATTTGGCCTTCTGTATTCAAATATCAAGAGAAAATGCCGAAAATAGGTTTAAAATTGGATTTCAATTTCTGTGATTTTTCATTTGTCAGTCAAAATCGACCTAAACTAGTCTTGAAGTGTGCCTTTAACAAAACAACAACCTATATTCGAGCTAAATAGTCATGCAGGTTCTTTCATAAACGTATTTTGGTTCAAAATTGCATTTAAAACCATAGAATAGTCTAAATTTCTTCTAAATGTGCCCTCTTCTGTTTTTTTTCCATTGAAATATCAAGAGAAATATCCAACATTTTACATTTCTATTTTTTTGACCAGCAAGTTACTTGCCTACATTCAGGTAAAAAGATCTTTATTTTACTACTGCACCAGCATTACGACACATAGGTATCAAAAACCTATTTTCAAAAGTTACACTGAAGGAAAATGGAATTAAGTGTGCCAAATAAACTTTATTGCAATTCGGGTCGTATCAATGCAGTTAGTTCTTTTTCATCAACAATAGTGAAATCACAGATGGATTTAAGTTTAGCTTCCTGTGTTGGAAACAGAACAGATCCTATTGAGATTAACATAACAAAAATCACAGACAACAGGGCATGAGATCACAGGTGAACTCCAATGTTTCTGGTTATATGTTTTGAAAGTGGACTAGAGAGTTGCATAGGGGTTTCTCAATTAATTTCGCTGTTCGAACAGTCTAATGAATTCAAGGAGTTTTTTTTTAACAGCTTTTCAAAACCATTCTTTATTATGTGTTGGTTGTTATGGATGCACAGATACAAAATAAGCTAATTTTTAGTCCATCCCTAAACCAACAAGTTTTCTTTGCATTATGCTTGCTGGAATTCTAACCACAACTTTTTTTTAATATCTAAGGCATCATTAAGTCCAGATGAAGCAAAGCGAGCTGCAGCATTAGCCTCAAGCGCACTAGCAGCCCCTGGAGGTCCAGCAGTGCTAAGAGCAGCTGGTGCAGAAACTTTAGGAAGACTCGCTCGTGCTTTAGCAGATCCTCGCTTCACAGCTGATCTTATATCAGCTAGCATTGAGCGTTTAAAGACCGCCCGAGATGCGGCTTCACGAACAGGACACTCATTGGCTTTAGGGGCTTTGCATAGACATGTTGGCGGTCTTGGAGCGGCCAGATTGATGCAGACAAGCGTATCTATACTATTGGCTCTAGCGCAAGATCGTGCATCTGCTGCAGTACAAGCTTGGGCTTTACATGCCTTAAGACTTTGTGCTGATGCCGGAGGGCCAATGTTTAAAGGATTTGTGGAACCAGCACTAGCTGCTGCTCTAAGGTTACTGTTGGAAACGCCACCTGCTTCTGTTGACGTGTATAGATGTGTTGGCAAACTTTTGTCTTCACTTATCACCACTATAGGGCCGGAATTACAGGTAAACTACATTTAATTTATTTATATTCAGTAAAACACTTGAACAGGTCTCGTTTCTAAGAATTGCTCCTACAGAATTTTTTTAATTTATTTGTATAACATGTATGTAGATATGTGTGAGACTCCCTATGCTATTTTAGTTATAAAGTGTTGTAGACTGACACTGAAACTATCAAAACTTGAGATCATAACTACTCTAGTCTCGTCTCGGTCTTGGAATATTGAGATTGCATACGTCTTTCGAGACCAAGGCCAACACTGTCCCAGTTGTTAATCAACGTTGTTATTTATTCTTCTTCTCAGGCACTCGTCATTTATGGGCTGTCGAATAATTACAGACTATTGGCCAGACCATAGAAATGTTTTCTTTTTGGGACTAATCGGATTTGCTTCATGCTCAGCTAAACTTTTCTCTAGATTTTACGACGTATTTTGTTTAATTTTAATTTATTTATTGTGTGTGTTTTTTTTTATTATAGTATTTTAATTGTATTATGTCTAAAGGTGAACTGATGAATGTCTGATCTTGTCGAATATGTTAAGTTTTAATTGCAAATACTGTGTATAAATTCATTGTAAAATTTTATTGTTCCAATACTATTTGACGACTGTAAGTGCTTATGTATATTATGACGAATAAAATTGAATATTGAGATATACTTATCAGAAATTGGTGCATTTAAATTGGGACAATGGACGATCTAACCAATAAAAAAAACTATAAGCATGTTTCTATTTATGTTTCTACATAATATTTTTGACTTGTGTGTATGTTTTAGTACTCACTGTCAACATATTACCAATACAAAACATATTTACCAGGTTATATTCCGACTCTGTGTGTAAGTACTTGGCTCATATCAACCGCCATTACACTAAATTCGCCATAGTGTTAATGGTTGGAATACATAAATGTGGCAGGGTTGCAGGGTCTACTGCTCCCTCCAATTATATTATATTATATATATTCTTACTTAATTATCTTGAGATCTAAGTATCATTTGATTCATATACTTTCAAAGATTTACGTACATTATTGTTTATAGGGTAACACATCAACAATTTGCGTGGCACGATCATCATTCTTGTGTGCCTGTGCAGTATTACAAGGACATCCTGAACCAGTAGTTCAAGCAGAGGCTACAGCGTGTTTGCAACAGTTACACTTGTTCGCCCCCAAACATGTTAATCTGTCATCTTTAGTTCCGACTCTGTGTGTAAGTACTTGGCTCATATCAACCGCCATTACACTAAATTCGCCATAGTGTTAATGGTTGGAATACATAAACACGTTTTTTTTTTAATTTTTTTTTTTTTTAGAAAGCCTTATCAAGTGATCATTTGCTGCTGAGGAAAGCCGCTATTTCATGTTTAAGACAACTAGCTCAACGTGAAGCCAAAGAGATCTGTGATCTTGCCGCCACTTTGGCTAGTGAAGGACCAACTGTAGAAGGTTTAATAATCACAGAAACTGGTTTACCAGGTGTCTTCTTCGGTTTACTAGATACTGAAACCGATCCAGGACTGATTAAAGATATCCACGACACAATCATAAGTATGTTGCAAGTTTTGGCAACTGGTCAATTAGCTCAATGGCTTGGATTATGTAAAGACGTGTTAACTGTGGCCTCTGAACCAGGAGAAGATCCTCGTGGTCTTGATGCTCCCGAAGATGATGATCAGGAACAATTCCACGCTGAAGAGGAAAACCAGCGTGCTGTTCAGCCAAGATGGCCAACTCGAGTATTTGCTGCTGAGTGCGCCAGAAGAGTGCTGGGAGCTTGTACTGCCAAGCGTTTAACTTCACAGCTACCAGATTTAATTCGCATGGCATTTGTAGCTGCTACAAGTGATTCCGATCCACTCAGATTGGAAGGACTTAAAATGCTTCGGGAGATTATTGATAAATTTGCTACAGAACCGGAACCAGAATTTCCAGGTCATCTATTATTGGAACAATTCCAGGCGCAAGTTAGTGCCGCGTTAAGACCAGCTTTTGCAGGAGATACAGCACCTCATGTAACAGCAGCTGCCTGTGAAGCATGTTCTGCATGGATAGGTGCTCGAGTAGCTAGAGATGCCGCTGATTTGCGACGTGTTCATCAGTTAATGGTTTCATCTCTTACCAAATTAGGAAAACCATCAGCTGCCGCAACTCTACTTTATAATGAAGCTATGTTAACTCTGGAAAGATTGGCAATACTTAGAGCATGGGCAGAAGTTTATGCTGTTGCCGCAGGTGCCAGAGGTCCACCTGATTCAGGCCTACTAGAACTCGTTAAGCCTCAACTTGCTACTCTATCGCGACATTGGTTAAATGCTTTGAGAGACAGAGCTTTATTAGCATTACCTCCTGAATTTGCAGGACAATTGCCTCATGATGGTGGAGCATTTTACACAGCAGAAACTGCAGAAGCTGCTAGAACGCATTATGCAGCCTCCTGGCCGCCAATTTTACTGGCAGCAGCTTTATGGGTTTCGCAACCAGCCAATATAACAATAGCTACAGAAGATGAACCAAATAACAATCCAGCTCCTGACGATCATTTCCGATTACTCTTTGGTACTTGTATTGAAGCGTTGTGTGGACCTAGAGGCACTGAATCTCCAGAAATCGTAGATACTTGTCTAAGGGCTTTAAGGGGGATACTGGAAGTGGCTAAAGCTAGAGAATTATTGCTAGAAGACTCCGGGCTTATTGTTGAACTATGTAACGTATTGCATAGGTTGGTTTTGACATTGGACTCTTCAGATTGTCAGTTGTTGTGCATGGAGGTATTACAACGAGTATTGAGAGCTGCTACTGATCGTCTTGACGATGAGAGAAATAGGCAACCAGGTAATAACTTTTATTATTTTTATGTATGTAAAGTTAGGTTAGGTAGTAGATTTAGTTATAAAATAATATCAAGATAGGAATAACAACATGTAAAAATATGATGCCTGTAGTTTAATTGCAGCAGGTAGTCTTTATAAACATCCAAATTTAGGAAAATAAAAGTTTCATATTGAATTATTTCTTGCAGAAAATGGTGAAGCAAGGAGTATAGAAGATCGTGATGCTATGGGTGAAGGTGGAAAGGAAGGAGATTTAGATCCTGACAAGTCGCTGGTATTTGCAGCCCTGGAAATTTGCTTATGCCTAATAGTCCGACAAATTCCGGCACTGAGCCCCACTCCTCATCCCGCCATTACAGGGGCACCACGCGTAGCAAATTCAGGTCTATTAGCTGCTGGTTTTACAGCCTTAGGCGTTTTGCCAGAATTATGTTCTCTACAAGGAGCATTAGCTATCTTACCAAGTCTTCTTTATCTTGGTACAGGTGTATTAAAAGAAGCTCCATCAGCATCACCAGGAGCTTTACAACTTTTACGCAAGTTGGCTTCAGATGAACGTGCAAACGATGGAGAATGGCGACATTTGCTTCAAAGTGCGCTAGCCAAAGTGATCGATCTTGCCAAAACTCCTGGGCCTGGCGAAGCTGCTCCACTGCTAGCTATTGCAGTATTTGTCCTTCATGCTCCTTCCGATGTAGCTGCTGCTCCTAATTTGCAATATCCATGCATTAATCATTTTAGACAATGTTTACAAAGTAATGATAATGCAGTAAGTATACAAATTATTTTATTACTTCGATGTTTCGCGGGTACCTTGCCAAATATCAAGAGAAAGTATAGACCTAAACATATTTGGTTCATAATATTTAGGAGATTTAACTATACATAATTTTTTGGAAAATCTGTTGAAATATATTGCAAATGTATTATTTGACAGATTTTTCAGGTGGAGTAAGATTTTCAAGGAATTAGCTGTAGGAATACAAGTAATAGTTTAGCAATTAAATTAACAAGTTGTATCTTTTTATTTTCAGACGAAATTAAAATGCATCAAAACTCTTAAATCCCTATTTGCACATTCTGATGAATCAGTGGCTACTCCCTATATTCATTCACTTGCTCCTCAGCTTGTAGAATTTCTCTATTCTGAAGAAGCTAAAAAGTTAACGTCAAATGAAGAATTTTGTATTACAATTGAAACAATTAATGCTGTGGAAAGTTTAATCGCTTTAGCTGAACCTCAAAAGAGTAAGTATTTTTAGATTGTATATTCAAGTTAATTCAAAAATTCATTTTTTTTCCATCCTACATAGGAGATATTATGCAAGGCAAGTAAGCTTAAATAAAAAAGCATTTTTGAACTATTTCTCACACTTCTTCCGGGCTCTCTTTTCCTTGCCTTTCTTCCAAAATGTATTAAGTTTGTTAGATTTTAGAGCTTTCATGGCATCTAAGGACGTTTTAAAATGTATAATCCAATATAAGCACTCAAGTGACTTGAATTGAGAAATTTTAAACTCAAGTTGAGGTCACATTTGGTTTAAATTTTCTTGAGTTGAGTGAGGAAACATGTAACATAATATGACTTCAAAAAAGTTTAATTTTTAATATGTATTTGTATTTTTTTAGGAATTCAGATGCTTTCTCTTCTTGTGCCAATTCTGGTGAATTATCTATTGCAAAATCCCCATGATCGAAATATGAACAAATATTTATTATCCTTGCACGAAGTAAGCTTAGAGAAATTGATGAAAATTGGTCCTACATATCCGCAGGTAAATATTATTGTATTAATTTACCAAGCATCTACCTAAAGTGATATTCTGTTTCAGGACTTTAAAAAATTGATGAGTACATCCGCAGATCTCAGGACTAAACTGGAAAGTGCCATAAGATCAAACCAGCAAAATGGTGTCAATATTAAAAACGAAGTTAATATTAATCAACCAATATCAATTCATATGCCAACCATCAAATTGAAAACTGACTTCAGTAACTTCTCATAAACAGTTATTGTTTTGTAGGACATAACCTATCTGTTAGAAACCACTAATAGAACGATAATATGTTTGTTCCAACACGCCCAACACATGCGCCTAAAGAGATATGCCCTTACTATGTATACACCGATCCTTGCTTAGGGTTCCAACTTGTCATGTACCATTCGAGAATTGATTGCTTCACAGTCATTTCAATACTGGGTTGAAAGCATGTACTTTTTAGATGAAATTGCGTAAATTTATCAATTTCTAGCTCAGCTCTGTGATCTGCCATTTCTCATGTTCGTTGTCGATCAAACAATCGGCAGTGAGGGTGTTTTGTAGTTTGTGTGACTTCTTACAAATTCAAAAAGCAAGTAAGGTTAGCTTAGATTTCAGGAAGAAGAGCGTTTCATCGGCTCAAACCCCGTTCTATCGCTTGCCATGTTAAAGCATGCGCACAAAATCGGTTAGAACAGCTCTTCGACGGTTCTTAGTCCTTGGGTGTCTTAGAAAAATTGGGTGTTGGAACAAACCTAATATGGTGACCAACACTAATTATCTCTTTAATATATTCAATCTAAAAATAATTGGTCATGGTGGATAGTCGGCAGAAAAAAAAATTATTATCAATTGCATAAAATAATCAATATTTACAGCAAAAAGCTAACGAACCGAAGAATGATATTTAAAAAAAAAATGTATATTATTTCAAATGTTGAAAATTTTAGGAAACTGTTATGCCAATCTTGAATAATTTGGACAATATGAGCTGGGTTTGGGATTGTATTCTGGCTTTGGAGTGGATTTTTGTCAGGGGACCATGGATTTAATTTATCGCAATTCTAAAGTCAAACGGGTGATGCAAGTTCTGGAAAATTTTTTGCCAATCTTCGAGCAGTAGTATAGTCACTGATAACTTATTAAAACAGTTTTTGAAAAATTGATTTAAGCATAGAAATACACAATATGTCGTTATCTTAGAATAATAAATGTATCTACAAAGCATCGGCGCAAAACAAAATACACAACAACAGGTTGGGCTTGGGTTCCTAAGTAGTATTTCATCCGATCGCATATAGACGGCCCAACGTTGAATTGCTAGCAAAAAAATGGACATTGTTGTCACGTACACCCGCAAATAAATAACCTGTTTTTGCTACGATTTAAAGATTATTGTTCCCAAAAATCAGTACATGCTCATAGTTTTCCATTATATCAAAATTCAAAATAGACCTTAATAATTTGATTACCAAAAATGTTACTAAATAAATCAACTTTTCAACTAATTTCAGGAAGTCTCTTACATTGTTATATCTCTGTTGTCCGACTTTATAAGTTTCAATGATCTTTTTCTCCTCCATTACTAGCAAGAATTCAGTGTTTTCTTCAATGCTAACCTCACTCAAAGATGTGGTAGTAGTTAGATATGAAAGTAACCAGAGCTATAATCCATGCTGATGACTGGTGGACTGATCACTGAATGGTCCCATACAAGTACCAAACGATGGAAACAAAGGAAACGACCACAGGGCATGTTGGATGTTTAGCGACTGAAAGTCGAAGAAATCAAAACAAACTTCCAGTTCCTACTGAATGAGAAATCCTCTGCTGAATATCCTGACGATGTTGAACAGCACTGGTCAACTCTTAAAACAGCTATGCTGACACCATACCAAGAATCAAAGTTAATGTCAAAACGAGCTTCCTCACAAGGAGACATCAGGATTGGTTTGATGGGAACAATAAAGAAATTGAAGGTCATCTGCCAGAAAAGGAAAGCCTACAATATCTGGCAAAACGACCCAAATTCAGCTTGCAAGAAACAAATATACAGTATCCCCCATAATGTTCGCTACATATGGGGAAATTTTTTATTTAGAACAGTACAATTCCGAACCTAGCTATAATCCAAATAGTCTAGGAAAATAGTCGAAAAATACATGTATTGCAAAAAAAAATGATAGGGGGAGGGTGGGTGATCATAAAACCGAAAATAGCAAACATTCACCCCTCTGGCGTTTTGCGCTATAGGGGTTGAAAGTGCGCCATTGGCGATTACTTGGTTTTACAAAAAAATGTTTCAGATAAAAGATGTGCAACATTATTTGATCTACAATGTTTATCTAAAGACTTTTTTGATAAGGGGCCGTCTGTGGTCATAAGGGCTGTTTGAAATTTTATAATGAAAATGAAAAATTTAAACCAACGTGAAAAATTTTTCTACAACACATACAACATTTTTGCTTTATGAAGTTTTTACTCACCCCCTGCCGTTTTGCAATAGGGGTAGTTTAAAGTTTATTTATTTTTTCACAAAAAAAAAATTCCTTATAAAAGTTTTATAAGATTACATTCCCTACAATTTTTCCCAATCAACTTTTTTTGTAACTCACCCCCATTCAGCGGGGGGGACACTTCCTTAGGGAAATTTTAGTTTTTAGGGGTATATAATAATTTTTTTTTCTTTTCTCACCTTTAGTGCATATGAAAAGGTTCAATTAACATTGTATTAAAAGGATTTTTTTTTCCACCACCTTTTTGTTTTTAGGGGTAGTTCGCCTATTTTTAACTTTACAAAAAAGAGTTATAGAGAAAAGTTGCTCAAAATAATAAAATGAACAAGTTTTCTTAATAATTTTTTTCTGTAAAGTTGAAAATAGGCGTACTACCCCTAAAAACAAAAAGGTGGTGAAAAAAAAATCCTTTTTATACAATGTTAATTGCAACTTTTTATATGCACTAAAGGCGAGAAAAGAATTTTTTTTTAAATATATACCCCTAAAAACCAAAATTTCCCCGAGGGAAGTGTCCCCCCGCTGAATGGGGGTGAGTTACAAAAAAAGTTGATTAGGAAAAATTGTAGGAAATGTCATCTTATAAAACTTTTATTGAGAAAATTTTTTTGTAAAAAAATAAAAAAACTTTAAACTACCCCCTATTGAAAAACGGTAGGGGGTGAGTAAAAACTTCATGGAGCAAAAATGCTGTATGAGTTGTCGAAAATTTTTTCACGTTGGTTAAAATTTTTCATTTTCATTATAAAATTTCAAACGGCCCTTATGACCACAGACGGCCCCTTATCAAAAAAGTCTTTAGATAAACATGGTAGATCAAATAATGTTTCACATCTTTTATTTGAAACATTTTTTTGTAAATTCAATAGGTACCAAGTAATCGCCAATGGCGCACTTTCAACCCCTATAGCGCAAAACGCCAGAGGGGTGAATGTTTGATATTTTCGGTTTTATGATCACTCACCCTCCCCCTATCATCCCTGAAAAGTTCATTTGGGTAGGAATTTTTTTTTTGAAAATCGACAATTTTCCTAGACTAAAAACATTTTTGTTAAAAGGGTCTACCAATTTCATTTACAGTTTAAATGAATAATTTTCAAACTACATATTACTAACTTTGCCTCATGGTTGACATTCATTTGTCAATTATATTTGTAATATTGTAACTACATCTTGTGAACATTTTGAAATATATACTAAAGGTTTAGATTAACCTGTCCAAATAATTTTATTATTGACAATTATGTTAGTAGAACAATTCCATGAACATCAATTTTCCAGGAATATTTTTATGATTGTATTTAGCAATAATAAATATATCATGTGAGAAGTTAGATTATGCGTATAGACTGAGCAAATTATGTAATGTGCTCTTCTTACACATTTTTTCCTATTTCAAAAGAATATATTTTTTTGTGATATGTTTAAAACGAATCTGAAATTATATTAAACGAATTCCTATTATGATTTATATAATCTATTAACGCCTAAATGTAATTCTATAATTTAATTTTTCCTTTGTAAAATAAAACATTGAAACGACTATTTTATATTTTTATTAACAACACCATAAAAATAAATGAAAAAACAAAATGCATATCAATAAAATTTCCGTTGGAATATTTTGAATGCCCCAAAATTATTACAATAAATTATTAAATTAAAACAAATTAAAGGATGAATGGCAAAATAGCTTTCCTGCATTTAGGATAATTTGGGAACTCTTTCTTATAGTTTCTGTGTTTTCCAAGAGCCCAAATTGTCATCTGGTATAATCCCGCCAGAGCAAAAAGTCCAGCTGAAACAAAAACAAGTTGAGTATAAATGGGAAAAATTTATTTATAGACAAGAAGTTGAAATATTTGAATAAGCATGGTTTTATTTTAATTAAAAACTTCTTACAATTACAGAACAGGTATCAGAATTGCTGGAGCTGAAGAATACTTTCGTACATCAACCAGAATATAAATAAAAAACATACAAAGTATTACTGTCTAGGAGAATGATAGTACTTTATCAGACCAGCAAGGGCACAAACAAAAATTTTCAAGAGAAGGGATTAGTCAAAAATGTGAAAAAAGGGGAAAATGGCGCTAGTGCAATTTTACACTAATTGCACACACTCTTTATACTTCATTAGGACAACCCAAAAAAAAAGCATGTTTAAATACAATTTAGAACCAAAAACATGTTCACGCAAAGATCTTTATGGCTAATTTAGGAGTATTTTAATAAACACGCACTTTAAAAACTACTTTGGATAGATTTTGATTCAAAACAAATGACATATCGCAGAAAATGTTGTTCCAATGCAATTTTACACTAATTTTGGAAATTTTCTCTTGATATTTCGGAAAGATAAGCCAAAAGGAAGAACATTTAGGAAACATTTAGATTATTTCGTTCAATACATCTACGGAAAGGATCTGTATGATTATCATGTAATTAGTCCAGTTTAAGTAGTTTTTTTGTAAATGAACACTTTAACACTACTTTGGATTTTTTTTGTCAAAGGAAAGTAGTGAAAATTCGCTGAAAATATAAATAAAATGCAATTTCACTATCATTTTGGACATTTTCTCTTCATATTTCAATAGATAAAGCTGAAAGGAATGCGCTCACTTTTAGACCATTTTGTTCTAAATGCAATTTTTAACCAAAAATACACCTACAAAAGGAGTTGTGACAATTAGCTTCAATTCAGGTTGTTTTTCCCATTGAACCGTTGGTTGTACCCATACTTTAAGACTAGGTACATGGAATTTTTTTTTTTAAAGAAGTGGAAAATCGCAGAGAAGTTGAAATGCAATAATTTTAAAATAATAGTGACAGTTCTTTTACCTGGGACACAGGAAGTCAGCAAGGTAAACCCAAACCAAGCACCAAATTCGTATGTGTAATTTGGGCAAGACACCAAGTTATAAAGTTTAGTAAGAGGATTGCTGCTAGGCACTGGAATTTTTCTCACTTTGGTACCTGGTGGCCTCAAATCTCTCAGAAGAATGTGAATACTTAAGTTGCCCAGTTCACAGATCTAAAATGGAAATAAAAAAATTAATTAAAGTTGCAAATATTCGAAAACTAGGAAGGAAAGTGCATGTACACAAAAGGAATAATTCCGCTTCCTTTCTGCTTTTCGTTTTCTTTGAAGTAAATTGTTGACACCAACCAAACATGCATGGGAAAGGGATAAAAACCTACAAGTAGTATTTTATCATATTATTGCTCTGTCTAAGGGTGGGTTTATACAGGAAATAATTATTCAGGTATTGAGTTTTGCGTTTTCTTCCAGCTACGTGTGGCGTCGGTGGCCTCATTCGGAATTTAGCTCGTCGAAGACTCCAAAAGCATAATTTGCTAATAATTTGAAATAATTTGTTTTGCATTTTATTTTCAATATTATACGTTTAATTATCATACAGGTGAATAAAGTAGGATCATAAATGAATACAGATAATCAAGTCAATATGTCTATGTTGTAAATTAGTGACAGCCTGAATAACTTTACGGATGTTTCAAACTTCTACCTATCCCAATTCAAAAATGCCTCAAATATTTTTGAAAAAAAAAATTGGGAAACACCAATTCTAATGACCGATAATATGTTTTCTAGTTACTCACATGTGATTTAAAAATTCAGTAAATTACAGCTAAATCTTACCACAAATATGGCAAGTCCTAGAAGTTGCATAAGAACTGGCGGAGGTGTGAACAAGGGATGATTAGTATGATAAGCAACATACAATGCAAATCCCCAATAGTATCCACAATTCTTGAAGAGGTTTCTTAGGGGCATAGTGCCGTGCGAAAAGCGGTGGATAAATAAAGTCTCAAGTACCCTTTTGAGATAATGGATGCTCCAACATATTAGTGCCACACTAGAAACGAATTTTTAATAATTATTAGATAAGCGGTTCTTGTACACTAAAGAAATAAAAGAAGTCACTACATATAACTTTTGTGATCCTTCAACTATTAAGACCTTCAACAGATTTTTAAAAAAGTTCAATGGTGAGTAGCTTCTTCTAGTTCTTCTACATGTTGGCAAAATCATATTTCCTCTTAATTTAGCTCAATAAATGGAACGCAATGCAATACATATTTTTTCTTCATATTCATTTAACGGACAACTTCAAATGCCCATCCAGGATTTTATTAGATCAATCACTGAATTGAATACCTAACCTCTTTCTGTCAAAAGAAACGGCGTTTTCGTGAGTCTAACAGACAAGCTGGCTTAGTCAAAAAGGCCCAACAAAGCCAAAGATTGCAATGAGTTTCGGTTTTTACTCAAGGAGGTGTCCAAATTTGATCTCTACATGCCTCTAGTGCACAACCCAGTGAAGCTCTATGAAGCTCCTCAAACCAACAGACCACCCTCTAGAGAGAACAAAACGAGACTAAACTTTATAGATATATTATTGTTTCCCTTTATTATTTTTATAGCCTATTCTTGTTTGTTTTGATCTATTATTTAATACATATAATTTTTTTCTATTGTAGTTCCATATTTATAAGGATCTCACCTAGACAGTGCAATAAAAGGCGCCCTGAAAGTTTGCCCGCCGTGTTTTTTTTTTTTTTTTTTTTTCTCCTAGGAAAATAAAAATCCAATGGTTTTTCTTTCCATGTATTAACATTTCCTATCTGTGGTTAGCACTTCTTGTCATGGAAATGAGAAATAACACAAAGTAGGGTGGGTAGTAACTGGTAGCTGGTGATGATTCCAATATTTTTTTTTTTTGCTTTCTCACTTTCTCATAATCTTATTTATACAGGGAAGCAATCTACAGTTTAAGTTCATGTTGCGCACCGCACAACAATATCTTACTTCACAGCAAATACTTGAAAACTCTAAATATTAACGACAATAAAATATTTAGGTTAAAAGTACAAACTCACCCTCGGATTCAGCTAATAAAAAAATTGTATTGTGAGTAGGTAGTAAATTAACCAGATTTTCAAAGTGGTGCCATAGAATTTGGTGCCACGGAAATAAGAATGATTTGAAAGCTACACAGTTTTCCTCTTCTGAAGTGAATTCGAATCCTAGGAGAATGAGTTTCTTAAAAAAGAAGCCAAGTTGAAGGAATTCGTAAAGAGATTTAAGGGTAGCATGGTGACCAAAATAACTTAAAATTACAAGTGCCTTATTTTGTCTGTCCTTTAGTGTATTATCGAGAAATTTAAACTTACGTTGCAGTGGTGGATAAAGATGTTCCTTCAGCAGAGTCCCCATACAATATCCATGGTCTTAAAGAAGCGAAGCCATACAATAGAAATGGGCCAGCATATTCAAGGATAAACACTGTATCCCAGCCAATTTGTGGGCCTAAATCTTTGACATAGACTTTTTTGCTAATCCCCAATGAAGGTATTGTGAGATCATCTCTAATATCTTTGCCCTTGAGTTCAGCCCTGATTGATTGTCTATCAACATGAAGTTTAGGAGAAATTGCAGCAATTTGCTTTTTAATATCTTTTACTTTTTGATTGTCCTCCACTGTAAGCTCTCCAATCTTCCTGTTGGAAGTCGTAAATACTTCTATCTAAAAGCAGTGATGTTCATAGTATAATGATAGTATCTATCTGATATACTTAGATAGATTATTGATTAATATGTGTGTGCAAAATAAGCAAATTGTCTTACCTGAACCATGACTTGGACAAAATTTTCAACTAAAATACGTGTCACCTTTTCCAAATTGCAAATGCTCACTAAATATGGCTTCTAATTTTTTCAATTAGAATTCCAATATCCAATACACTATTGACAAGGTCAATGAGTTTAATTCATTCTATTCCGGTCATTCGGGTTTTTCAAACTATTTGTGTTGACCCCAGTGTTGACCATTGACCCTGTTGCAGGATGTGCTACTGCTATTTGTATTTAAATGTTTATTTATGATACGAGAACACGAGGATTACCAAGGAAATTATTGTACTCTATGTGCTAGAATAGGAATTTGTTTATTTGATGTTTTTAGTTTCCACACACAAGATTTCCACGACTCTCAGACTCAGAGATACGAGGTACCAATTTTGATATCAAAATGTTTTATTTTGTTTTTGAGTGACTGGAAACAGGAATTGGATTGGAATAAGAGCATTCAATACAAGGCGCAAGGCGAATTCAGTTAAACTCCCACCACCACAGGGGCGAGTTCAGGAATGACACACTCAGTGTGAGTGTGACACCGGTGCGACGCAATAGCCGTTCATTAATGCTATAAGGCGGTTACACACGGACGTTGATGTCTGAAAACATGTACGCACATACATGAACGAGCAAACAAAAACATCAATGTGTATGCAAAATATCGTCGCGTTTTTGAATGTGCAATTTTGTATGCACACTCGGAACACCGTGGCAAGAATAGCAAGACTGCAGTTTTGTGCGAGCGTCTGTACAAAAGCGCCATGCACGTTGTTGTTTGCACGTTGATGTATGCACGTATATTAATTAAGAAGACATCCACGTCCGTGTGTAACCGCCCATAGGCACACCAAGTGCGCGCACTCTGTGCCGTTCAGAAAGTACTTTGGGCGCGCTCCAGGTGTCGCACCGGTCACACCAAAATTTTTTGGTGTGGCTGCGGTGTGATTGTGTCTTTATGTCAACAATGTCAACCATTCCTCCCATAATCTCAATAATCCCACCAAATATAAACAAAACACAAATAAGAATTAAAGTTTTTCTTTCAAATTAAAAAAATGAACAACAAAAAAAAGTAATCCTAATAGATTTTGTCAAATTTTCGAGGAGATGCTCGATTGGTCACACCAAGCGTTCAGAAATTCATACGAATGTCGCCTAAGAATAATTGTCATTTCAGTCACACCCATAAAATCGCACTCCCACCCGGTGTGTTATTTCTGAACTCGCCCCAGTCCACGAATTTGAAAGATGACAGTTGACAGAAGCTCGGTCATGTTTTTGCTCGCGGAAGATTAGAACTCGCCTACTGTACTGACTACTACACTACTTAAGTCAGTGTACATCCAGAGCAGCATTCCAGTGACAAATTTTAAGGTGCTCCACATCAGTAGCGTCACACTCTGGTGCTCCAAACAACTGTTGTTTCACTGGAACGCACCCTACTTTAAGCGTTGTGTTTTTGATGCACCCATAAAATTGCAGGTGCTTGAGAGAGCAGGGGAGAGGAAAAACGAACAGTTTAGTTGCGCAAAACTCAGAAGCACTGGAACGCCTATAAATAGCCCGGGGCGCTCTAGAGCAGCTCGGAGGGCTTAAAGTGCGTCACTGGAAACGACTCAGTACACAGTGTAAAGTCAGTGCAAGGATAATGCACACTATTAAAGGATTGGTTACCCAAGGAGAATAAACTTACTAAGGAGTGCTTATCGGCCCCTGTTTGGGTAATTGTCGCCATATTGGTTTTCAACTGTTTCCAACCACTGCTGACGTCATAACAAAGTCGCCAGCTGTTTGCGCCAGCGGTTTTATAAATTTATAATTTGTCATGAAAAATATTTTATTTTGATTTTGATTAACCATTATAGCGGGTAAAGGTACCCTATGCTATGATGGAACCAGTAGCGCGATATCTGGCTAGCTTTCGTCATTCCGCCTATTTACACGTTTTCAGCATGTATGATTTAATGGAGCCCTAGGAGAATTACGCGGCGTTTTGTTTACATTTCTTTATGTAAGTATAATAACTATAAGATAATTTATTCTATACTATTTAATTGTTTTTAGGGTTTTCTCATATTAATATAACATATTCCTATTCGAGCATAAATTGTTTGTTTATGTATTATATTCTTGTAAATATTACTGTCCCATATGGCATATGGGCCTGGGCAGAAGCTAACATTTTTAGCTGTACTTACATTTTGTTTGTGGAATTAGCCATCAGGAAGCTTTGAATACTGCTTATGATAATGAAAATGTTGATGGCATAATATATCGAGCCCACACAGAAAGCAAAGAGCTCACTGACTAAGATTCAGCAGATGAGGAATGTGGTTTTGACTTATCTACTAGGCAACTTTTGTGCTAGTGCAGAAATTGTTTATTCGAATGGGAAATATATCACAGGTAGACGTAGAGTAGAATTAACAATTTTTTGGGAAATCATACAATTTTAACTTTATTTTTATTTTCAGACATACCCGAGGAAATATAAAGTACCACCTTGCGCTACAGGAGAATATGCTTCGGGCTGCAGCAAGTGATTTTTGAGTCAATAATGATATAAGGTATTATGGACTGCATCATTATTGAAACACTTTTCCTGAACGTAAAAAAAACGATGTGGTGGTCAAAACTGTAGCAGCCGAGGAAGAAAAATGTGCTGCAAATGCAATATCGACTTATTTATTCACTGTTCTCGAAAGTTTCACACTGGGTAATAATTTTCACCCATAATGCTGCTCGTGATGATGCAGGCCAAAATTCATTATAATCTATTTCGTTTATCTGTCCCGTAATGATTATATCTATACAACAGCCTAACCGGATCTTTTTCTTATATTTTTGTAAACTTTCTACAATAGGACATTGCCAAAAGGGTCTCAAGGCTGGTATGGATCTCCCTTATAATGTCTGTATTTGAATAACTTGTATGTCTAATAAATAAATAAACATTTTATAAATAACTCTTTATTTTTATTTATAAATAGGTGAAAATTAAATTAACAAAGTCAAATAACTTGACCACAAATCTGATTTTTACTCGAACTACCTATAATATAATACTGGTAATTAGGATTTAATAAACACTTTACACGTTCTGCTGTTTGCTCGGCCATTTGTATGCCTATCTGAGAAGAGTTTAATAATTGATTAAAAGTATAACTACATTCATTACTTGTATCAGTCTCACTAGAATCTTGATTTCTTTTTCTTTCGGCAAGTTTTTCAGCACCCATGGAATCTATTTTTTGGCTCGGTTTATGGATCACTATAGAAGAGGGCAAATTCTGGGATGGTACAACTGTTTTTTTCAATATCCGACCTCTACCTGTACCTCTAAGGGTGGGTATTATAAAACTACTTTGAGAGTTAACTTAAAGTTAACTTCTGGAATTACATGTAATTCAAAAAGTTAACTTTAAGTTAACTGTCAAAGCAGTTTTATAATACCCGCCCTAAGACCTGTACTCTCACCTGTAAATAATAAAAACAGTCAATATTTTCAAACAAAACATTTTAAAAATAGATAGTACTTGATAAATGCCTAGAAGCAGGCCTAAAATGAAGCTAGGGCACAAAACTATCCATTATGCTTGTTTACCTTAACACAAAATTCTTGCTTAATTGAGATGCAGAGAATACACTTTCATGAATTTGGTGACTGGTTTGCCAATACGAAGTTTTAAAATCCAGAAGGCTTTTCTTCTCGACACTTCTTTTTCCATTTTCGTTTCCAAATAAACCCGTGGGCCTGTTTCAAGGGGAAATATGTAGAAACTCAATCCTTTGTCAGCTTTTTTTTTTAGCCCAAGACTTGCATTGAGGAACACAACAGTAATGATTAAAAGTCATGATTATATGTATCTGATATAATTTTATAATTTTAGACTTTAATTATACTAGAAACTAGTTCCATAATTTCCAGCCAGATCATAACATAACCTGTGGTGCAAACAGCCTACGTCAAGACGAAAAACGCCATGATGTTTACGTCACAACTGATTTTTTGGCTTGGCGGGGTAGGGGGGGATTTGTTTAGACTTTGTTATGAGGATAAGCCATCCTTAGTAGTGTGTATCATCCTTGTTGGTTACCGCCCTCGTTTTTGGTCATCGCGGTCATCTGGTGTCGCACCATTGTCGGCATCATTAATTAAGTCCTCAGCAGTTTGCACCAGCGGTCGTAATTTAGATTTCAAATTTATGATGAAAAATATCATTTAATTTAACCTAATAGGCAAGAGGAAGTTTCAAACGCGATCCAAAAAAGAGTTGTTGTTTTAGAATGTTGATCAATGTAACTTATGAGGCAAACACCTTACGTCAAGGCAAGAAACACGCAGCCCACGTTATCACTGGTGCCCTGCGTTTTTATTCTCATCAAATTTTAATGATGGATCCACCATTCTATGTTCGTCATTGACATTTCCCTTTTTTTCCTAGTAAACATGTGTCCGGAAGTGCTTAGTTTTCCAGATATACAGGGTGGCCCGAATTTGGGCCTCATCATTGGGATCTCGGTAACCGTAAGAGATACGGGGTCGGTTAAATAATGGCAAAGTTGCGCAATTTTATGACCAATGGAATGCCGTTTTGAAACTAGAAAGATTCCGAATACTTCCGAAGATATTCGGAAAAAACCAAAATTTTGTAAAATCGTTTTTATTTTTTCCCGGTCTTATTTGAAAAGCAATTTTAAAATAAATGTCACTTCATCATTGTCACTTCTTCCCCTCTAGTAGATGGTGGTACTAAATTTAAAATTCGACGTTTCGTCTTCAGGCGGCCATCCTTAACTTACGTTTTTTAAATACGAACCTAGATTTTTTATTTGCGATTTTGTCATCTTTGGGCATCCTAAAACCGATACTGTTTATAATTTTTCAATAACAGGGTAAAAAAGCAGGTCCGTATTTGAAAAAAAAAATTGATGATGATTCCAGAGGAACGAAACGTTGGATTTCAAATTTAATACTGCCATCTTGTAAAGAAGAGAAAGTGACAATGGGAATGTGAAATTAGCTTTTCAGAATCATTTTAAATGAAATCAGGAAAAAATTTAAGAAAAACGAGAAATTCATGTTTTTTTCGTATAGTTTTCATTTTTTCCTGATTTTATTTAAAAAGATTGTGAAAAACTAATTTCACCTTGCCATTATCACTTTTTCTTCTCTACAAGATGGCGGTATTAAATTTAAAATACAACGTTTCGTTCCTCTGAAATCATGATTTTTTTTTTTTTTAAATATGGACCTGCTTTTTTTGCTGTGTTATTGAAAAATTATAAACAGTATCGGTTTTAGGATGCGCAAAGATGACAAAATCGTAAATAAAAAATTCAGGTCCGTATTTAAAAAAAGGAAGTTGAGGATGGCCGCCTGAAGACGAAACGTCCAATTTTAAATTTAGTAGTACCATCTTCTAAAGGGGAAAAAGTGACATTTATTTTAAAATTGCTTTTCAAATAAGCCTGGGAAAAAAT